CTGGTATTTTGCAATGTATAACTTCCAGTGTACACAATAATATCCAATACCAGACCACTGTAACAATCACAAAGCACAAACAACTTTATACCAAAGTGTTTCCTCTTGCTTGGTATGTACTGCTTGAAAGAGAGTCTTCCTTTGAACAGAACCAAAGACTCATCAATTACAAGCTTCCTGAAGGGCTAAAAATACAAATTGAATTTCTCTTTCAGATACACAAACACATGCCTAATCTTATATAACCTGTCGTTTCTGTCAGGCCTGGTTTTGTCTGAGAAGTGAAGCATACGGAACATTAGCACAAATCGATTCACTGGCATTATATCACTGAAACCTGGGGTTGCAATCAGGCGGTCTGTTGACCAGTATGATTTCACTCTGTGCTTATACACATGTGGCATAAACATTATTGTGGCAAAGAAAAGATACATCTCAGCCACAGTTGTCTCCTTCCACTGGTGTAGACATGATTTTGGTGAAAGTATTGTGTTTGCCATGGTGTACTCGTAGTATGTGTTGCTTTCCATGACAATACTTTCCATCAGGGGTTCGTCAAAGAATAATTCGAAACATTCCAGTTCAGTGGCATTGTTTCCCAGTGTACAACATGACCGTATTTCACTTTGGCTGTCATTAAACTGGTGGGGATTTGGAACAAAACTGACAGCTTCCTGCCAATCCCAGGTGCAGTCTGCTGGTGGGTACTGGACAATGAAAGGTGGTTGTGGTTGTGGAGGTTGTGGTTGTGGAGGTTGTGGTTGTGGAGGTTGTGGTTGTGGAGGTTGTGGTTATGGAGGCTGGTGTGGTGGGTGAGTGGGGGATGGTGGCCTTTGTTGTAGATCAGCTGAGGCAGCAGCATGGGTGGCAGCAGCGTGGGTGGCAGTGGCATGGGTGGCATCATGGTCCACTGCTGGTGCCTCACGCCTGGCACCACCACCATGCACATTTTCCATCCCAATTGCAACAGTATCATCGTCATTTTCACTGTCAGTTCCTGTTGTACAGCCACGGGATGTACTCCGAGATGTACTCCTTCTCCTTGGAATAGCATATGTCATACTACCAGAGCGCATACATCGTTGTATATAATGACGCTTCACTGGGGGAATATTGCACTTCACTATCACTACTGGAACTAGTTTGAAGAGCTTGTAGTTCATAATCACTATCACTGTCATCACAAATGCTCACATCTGAGTCTGGGATTTGGGAAAATAGGAGTTTCCTCTTTGATTCTGGTACAACTGAACGTGAACAAGATGGCCCAGCACCAGAGGTGGAAGGCTGAGGGTCGTCTGGGTTTTCCTCACTATTACCGATATTATACTCATTAGTTTTGGCCAACCCTCACCAAAACCTTGAAACTCATCTTCACTGGCACTTCCATCTGTATTAGAACTGTCACTGGGGAACAAAAGTGTCCCAATTCGCCGAGGAGTGAGGAACTTCTTACCGCAAGGCATGATGGGCATTGTTTACTAAGATGGTGTTCCCACAATGTACCACTGGGTCCCAGATTTTTTTCTACCACACACACCCACCACACAGACCCATTCTCTCACATCTAGACCTACCAGCCTTTTCCCGCGAGGTTTGACGGCGCTAGAATGTATGCGTACTAGTACGTTAAAAACCCCTGCATGTAAGCCGTACTAGTACGTCCGAAACTCCGAAAGGGTTAAACAGATAAGAGAGAGTTTTAGAAAGAGCTTAATTTTAAATGAGTTCTTGTTAATTGGCCATGCACTCATTGACACACACACACACACACACACACACACACACACACACACATACATATACACAGGCAAACCTGAGAATAGTGTTCTGATACCTCAGTAAGGAATTGTTCAAGACTCTTTACACATGTACATCAGGCCCATACTGGAGTATGCAGCACCAGTTTGGAACCCACACCTGGTCAAGCACGTCAGGAGATTAGAGAAAGTGCAAAGGTTTGCAACAAGGCTAGTTCCAGAGCTAAAGGGAATGTCCTACAATGAAAGGTTAAGCGAAATCGGCCTGTCATCACTGGAGGACAGGAGGGTTAGGGGAGACATGATAATGACATACAAAATACTGCGAGGAATAGATAAGGTGGACAGAGACAGGATGTTCAAGAGATGGGACACAGAAACAAGGGGTCACAATTGGAAGTTGAAGATTACGATGAGTCAGAGGGATGTTAGGAAGTATTTCTTCAGCCATAGAATTGTCAAGAAGTGGAATAGTCTGGCAAGTGATGTAGTGGAGGTAGGAACCATACATAGTTTTAAGATGAGGTATGGAGCAGGGAGAGAGAGGACCCAGTAGTGGTCAGTGAAGAAGTGGGGCCAGGAGCTGAGACTCAAACCCTGCAACAACATATAGGTGATTACACACATGCCCGCGTGCATACATACACACACATATGCACGCACACACACACACACACACACACATAGGTGAGTACACACACACACACACACACACACACACACACACACACACACACACACACACACACACACACACACACACAAACCCGAAGGTGTAGAGAGGCAAAAACTAAGTGCACTAGAGAATGGAAAAAGTACAGAAGGCAAAGAACCCTGGAAAATAAGGAGATTAGTCGAAGAGCCAGAAACGAGTATGCACAGATTAGGAGGGAGGCCCAGTGACAGTACGAAAACAACATAGCATCAAAAATCAAGTCTGACCTGAAACTGCTATATAGCCACATTAGGAAGAAGACAACAACCAAAGACCAGGTGATCAGGCTGAGGAAAGAAGGTGGGGAACTTGCAAGAAACGATCAAGAGGTATGTAAGGAGCTCAACATGAGATTCAAGGAAGTATTTACACTAGAGATAGGAAGGGCTCTGGGACGACAGCACAGAGGGGAACACCAACAGGGAATATACCAACATGTGTTGGATGACATACACACAACTGAGGAGGAGGTGCAGAAGGTAAGTGACCTTGATACCTCAAAGGCGATGGGACTGGACAACATCTTCTTGTGGGTCCTTAGAAAAGGAGCAGAGATGCTGTGTGCACCACTAACCACAATCTTCAACACATCCCTTGAAACTGGGCAAATGTAGTCCCCATTTTTAAGAAAGGAGACAGAAAGGAGGCACTAAACTACAGACCAGTGTCACTGACATGTATAGTATGCAGAGTCATGGAGAAGATTATCAGGAGGAGAGTGGTGGAGCACCTGGAATGGAACAAGATTATAAATGACAACCAGCACGGATTCATGGAAGGCAAATCCTGTGTCATAAACCTTCTGGAGTTTTATGACAAAGTAATAGAAGTAAGACACAAGAGAGAGGGGTGGGTTGATTGCATTTTCCTGGACTGCAGGAAGGCCTTTGACAGTTCCTCACAAGAGATTAGTACAGAAGCTGGAGGATCAGGCACGTATAACAGGAAGGGCACTGCAATGGATTAGAGAATACCTGACAGGGAGGCAACAATGAGTCATGGCATTTGATGAGGTATCATAGTGGGCACCTGTGACAAGCAGGGTCCCACAGAGGTCAGTCCTATGACCAGTGCTATTATCGTATATGTGAATGACATGATGGAAAGGATAGACTCAGAAGTGTCCCTGTTCACAGATGATGTGAAGTTAATGAGGAGAATTAAATCAGATGAGGATCAGGCAGGACTTCAAAGAGACCTGGACAGGCTGGACACGTGGTCCTGCAACTGACTTCTCGAATTCAACCCTGCCAAATGCAGAGTCATGAAGATTGGGGAAGGGCAAAGAAGACTGCAGACAGAGTATAGGCTAGGTGGACAAAGACTGTAAACCTCACTCAAGGAGAATGATCTTGGGGTGAGCATAACACCGAGCACGTCTCCAGAAGTACACATCAACCAGATAACTGCTGCAGCATATGGGCACCTGGCAAACCTGAGAATAACGTTCCGATACCTTAGTAAGGAATCGTTCAAGACACTGTGTATGTCTGACCCATACTAGAGTATGCAGCCCCAGTTTGGAACCCACACCTGGTCAAACACATCAAGAAATTAGAGAAAGTGCAAAGGTTTGCAACAAGGTTAGTCCCGGAGCTCAGGGGAATGTCCTACGAAGAAAGGTTGAGGGAAATCGGCCTGACGACATTGGAGGACAGGAGGGTCAGGAGAGACATGATAACGACATACAAAATACTGCGTGGAATAGACAAGGTGGACAGAGACAGGATGTTCCAGAGTGGGGACACAGAAACAAGGGGTCACAATTGGAAGCTGAAGAATCAGACGAGTCACAGGGATCTTAGGAAGTGTTTCTTCAGTCAGAGTTGTCAGGAAGTGGAATAGTCTAGCAAGTGATGTAGTGGAGGCAGGAACCATGCATAGCTTTAAGATGAAGTATGGCAAAGCTCAGGGAGCAGAGGGAGAGAGAGAGGACCTAGTAGTGATGAGTGAAGAGGCAGGGCCAGGAGCTTAGTCTTGACCCCTGGAACCACAATTAGGCGAGTGCAATTAGGTGAGTAACACACACTAGCACAACATATGTCATGAGTAATGACATTATCTTAGAGAAATTATGTTATATAATATTTAAGCCTCCTGTGTTATGTAATATCTATTGTGCAGTGTGCATCCGCTTGTATAATTAATAGTCATTATAATTTAAAAAATTAAAACTACAGGAAAAGCAACGATATCGGCTAAAAATTTAGTATTGGTATCGGCAAAATTTTTGGTATTGTCCCATCCCTAATATATGTGGGTGGGTATTCCTCGGTGCCATCATCTGCCACACACATGGCTGTGATGGTAATAATGAGAATTTCAGCTTCTAATCAGGGGATAGTAAGCACATCACTGAGAGATTTACTGCTTAGTTTTATGGAATTTTCTCATGACTCACACTTTGAAAGATCAGATGGAGTTCTCAGCAGTCAAATCAGTCTTGTAACAAAATTTTCTTGTGAAATGTCTAAAGGTGAGTAATACTGACAGTTATTTTTTTTAATTATTAATATATCCCACAGTGGTTCATGATGTTAGCGATGATGTATGTATTGCTGGCTGCTCTGATGGGGCAAGTGGCAGGAGAATTAGCTGCCCCAGAAAGGTCGTACAAGATTCTTATGCTCCTACCTGTATCCACTACAAGCCACAAGAATTTCTTCATGCCACTTGCTGAGGCTCTAGGTGACCGTGGACACAAGGTAGTTCTTCAGTGTTCGTACTAATTGTCAATTAAGTCTATTGAAAGGAATGAAAATAGCATACAAAAAAAAAGTTTAATGAACTAATTTTAAAAGCTCCTAACATAATTTATTAAATTTCCTAATTTACTTTTATCTTGAATAACACTTGTCTTTTGTGTTTGCAGAAATAGTATTACTGTACAGGTCTCCCTCAACATTCGCGAGGGTTAGGGGATCAATAGCCTCGCGAATGTTGAAAAATCGCGAATGTTTGGTGCCCCAATATATTGTAGGGAAATATAATACAATACTGCTTCCTTAACTTGTTGAACCATGAACAATCATAAAATACATGAAAACGTCGTAAATTGTACTAAATACATACATGTTATGGTTTAATAATGTGTATGTTATTATATACCACTGCCTCCACCAATGCCTCCACCAATGCTTCCACCACTTCCTCAACCACTGCGAGTCCCTACTACCCTCCCTCTGACACCCGCAACTGGCAGCCAGCCCTCCCACCAGTGTGGTAAGTATTTTGTTTGTTCATTATTTGCTATTAAACTACAGTATAAATAATGCAAACCCATTCATGACTGCATATTGGAATGGCTATTCGGACAGGTATTGGACGGTGACATCATATGTTTACTCTTGAGCACAGCAAAGAATCAAACATTTCTCTTACTGCTAATAATAACAATGGTAATAATAATAATAGTAATAATAATAATAATAATAATAATAATAATAATAATAATAATAAATAATAATAATAAATACGATAGAACTGAAGAAGGAAATTGCACAAAAATATGAGAGTGGTTCAGGCATCGTCAGCCAGTGTGGCTTTGTTTATGCTGGAGTGAGCAGTAGTCTCCCTTCTCTTCCAAACATTTCACAATTCACTGTGTTTGGTGCTTGTAGATTGAGTGTGACTGGAGTGGTAGAGGCAGTGTTTGAGGCTGTGGTTGAGGCAGTGGAGGCAGTGGTAGAGGCAGTGGTAGAGGCAGTGGTGAGGCAGTGGGTGAGGCAGTGGGTGAGGCAGTGGGTGAGGCAGTGGGTGAGGCAGTGGGTGAGGCAGTGGGTGAGGCAGCAGTTGAGGCAATGGTAGAGGGAGCAGTTGAGGCAGTGGCATTTAATAACATATATGTTATAAATAATAATAGTACGTATTATTAATAACATGTATTATTATTATTATTAATAACATGTATTATTATTAATAACATGTACACCTAACATCCGACATAAGAACTGCTCGACTTACGACCACTCGACTTACGACCACTCGACTTACGACCGTGTTTTTTATGCCAAATTTCTGGGAAAAAAACAACTATTTGTGTTGTACACAGTGTTTATCCTAAACCTTACAGTATAAAATACAGTACTAACAGCATAAAAAGTAAAGTAAAACATGAAATACCAAAATAAAACAATAAAATAAAGTCATTACAAAAATGTTTTGTTGATATTCAGTAGTAAAGTTCGACTTACGAACATTTCGACTTACGACCGGTTTCTCAGAACCGAACTCGGTCGTAAGTCGGATGGTAGGTGTATTATTATTATTATTATTATTAATAACATATATGTTTTTAAATACCACTGTCTCAACCGCTGCCTCACCCACTGCCTCACCCACTACCTCACCCACTGCCTCAACTGACACAGCTAACAAGATAAATGACTTCTTCTCAACCATAGGATCTAATCTCGCCAATAAAATCTCACGTATCAGTGCCCATGCCGGGGACTACCTAGCTGGGAATTTCCCAAATTCCTTCTATCTTGCTCCAACTCAGCCCACGGAAGTCACCGAGATTATAAAGTCACTTAAAAATAACTCGGGGAATCTTTCTCATGCCCCACCATTATTGTACAAGCGAGTGGCCCATGTCCTTTTGCATGCTATTTCATTACTTTTTATCAAGTCACTTGAAACTAGCACCTTCCCGAAACTACTCAAGATGGCAAGGGTTACACCAATACATAAAGGTGGTGACCCTACAGATTTAAACAACTATAGGCCAATATCAAACTTACCATTGCTATCCAAAATCTTTGAGAAACTCGTGCACAGGAGACTATTTTCATTTATAACGGCACAAAACATACTCAACCCCTGCCAATTTGGATTCAGGAAAAATAAAAGCACTAATTGTAAAGGACTTGCCTAGTATGGGCCAACAGGCCTGCTGCAGTGTTCCTCCTTTCTTATGTTCTTATGTAATGATGCAATTATAAAAATGCTAGATCTGCTTTACACAGCATTGGAAAATAAGGAATATCCACTAGGAATTTTTATTGACCTAAGAAAAGCTTTTGACACAGTAGACCACGCCATCCTACTCCACAAACTTGACCATTATGGTATAAGAGGCCATATGCTTGCATATTTAAAATCTTACCTTATTAATGGGTATCAGTATGTCACCATTAAAGACACAGCATCAACAACACGGCCACTTGAAACTGGAGTTCCGCAGGGAAGTGTCCTTGGCCCCCTGCTCTTCCTCATTTACTCAATGATCTTCCAAACGTACCCCAACACGTAAACCCCAATTCTCTTTACTGACGACACGACTAATGTCATCTCTCACCCTAATATTGCCACCCCCAACACCATTGTTAATGAGGAGCTGGGTTTAAAATATCAACTTGGATGACAGCCAATAAACTTATGCTTAACACTGACAAAAACCTACTATATTATGTTTGGTAGCAGAGCAGGACTTGCGCAAATTAACATTAAGATCGACAACACTCTAATTGCCAGACATAATGAGGGCAAATTCCTGACCTATACCTCGACAACAACCTGAATTTCAGCACCCATATCCAACACATAACCAAAAAAGTATCCAAAACGGTTGGGGTCCTCTCCAAGATATGATACTACGTGCCGCAAAATACCCTTCTCACACTATAAACCCCTCACTTACTTATCCAACCTCACCTATGCTATTTGTGCTTGGGGATCAACTGCAGCAACACACCTAAAGCCAATAATAACCCAACAAAAGCTTTCTTTAAAATAATCACTAAATCCCATCCCTGGCAACACATCCCCCACTCTTCATAGATCTAAACTTACTCCCTGTTCAGTACATCCACACTTACTACTGTGCAAACTACATCTACGGACCTTAAATTCCATATTAACCTTGACCTAAAACGCTTTCTTGATAGTTGTAACAGAACCCACAGGCATAACACCAGACACAAACATTTCTATGACATTCCCCGTGTCCGACTAAACCTTTACAAAAATTCAATGTATGTCAAAGGCCCTAAAATCTGGAACACCCTACCTGGAAAAAAATCTAGAACTGCAGACACTTCATCACCTTCAAAACTACCATTAGAAAACATCTTATCTCCCTGATACACCCCGTCAATAATTCACGAATACCACTAGTGGTTCCCAAAAATTACACTCACTCACCCTTTTGACCTAACAGAATATCAAAACTCATCTTAAATAATGAATCTTAACTAGTCATAAGTTGGCCCCTGATACTCAATACTGAAAAAAAGTATTTGCCAAAAAAAAGCTTCACTTTCAAACTCACAAACTAGTATTTGTCACTTAGCCATAACACCAACTTACTCATAATTTGTAATATTTTAAAAATTTAAAAATTAATCCAAGTCTGCCCGAAATGCCTACCTGCGGTGTTCTATGGGACCCCCTGTAATTTGTACTTTTCAATGTAAACCACACAAAACCAAAATTTTTTAAGCTCGCATTGTAATTTCCCTTTTAGAGAATAAACTTTAATTTGAATTGAATTGAATCGAACTGCTGCCTCAACTGCTGCCTCACCCACTGCCTCAACCACTGCCTCTACCACTCCAGTCCCCTCAAGGAAGGTTCCTTGATGTTGGTGAGGGGCTCTTGATTTAGGGAATTGGATCTGTGCTCCAGTTCCCCGAATTAAGCCTGAATGCTTCCACATATCCCCCCCCCCAGGCGCTGTATAATCCTCCGGGTTTAGCGCTTCCCCCTTGATTATAATAATAATAATACCACTCCAGTCACACTCAATCTACAAGCACCAAACACAGTGAATTATTGTGAAATGTTTGGAAGAGCAGGGAGACTAATGCTTACTCCAGCATAAACAAAGCCACACTGACGATGCCTCAACCACTCCCTCGTATTTTTGTACAATTTCCTTCTTCAATTCTATTGTATTTATTATTATTATTATTATTATTATTATTATTATTACTATTATTACTATTGTTATTATTAGCAGCAGCAGAAATGTTTGATTCTTTGCTGTGCTCAAGAGTAAACATTTGATGTCACCGTCCGATACCTGTCTGAATAGCCATTCCAATATGCAGTCATGAATGGGTTTACATTATTTATACTGTAGTTTAATAGCAAATAATGAACAAACAAAACACTTACCACACTGGTGGGAGGGCTGGCTGCCAGTTGCGGGGGTCAGAGGGAGGGTAGTAGGGACTTGCAGGCGGCGGGAAACTTAAGTATGATTTGGCGGCTGGGAATTTGGAGGCTGGGAATTTGGCGGTTGGGAATTCGCGAATGTGTGAAGCCCACGAAAGTTGAAAACGCAAATGTTGAGGGAGACCAGTATATGCTTTTGAGAATTAAACCATTATATATCATACAGTGCTTATGTAGTGAAATTTAACCAGATTTCATTCCAAATAGATATACGAGTACAGGTGCTCCCTGGCTTACAATGGGATTATGTTCCGATGAACTCATTGTAAGTTCAAAAATTGTAAGTCTAATAGAATATATCGATAAATATGTAAATAAATAACTGTCATTGAATAAATGAAGTAATTACTGTAACTCAACACCACTATTGAAAAAATAAATGAATGCAAGTTTATCCAATCAATAAATGTACAGTACAAAAAATTTGATAGTACCATTGCAAAGTTGAAGTATCGTAGGTCAAAACCATCGTATTCCGGGTTGGTAAGTAAGACACACGTGCAACAGTTAGTATCTTTATTCTGAAACATTTTGCCTATACAGTAGGCTTCTTCAGTTGAGTACAGAAAAGTTCGTAGAAGCAGTAGAGATGTGAAGGTGATGTAATCAGTCCATGACCAACCTGTCAGTATTTTATACCATTTTAGTATTCTGGGTACCACCTGGAGAAGACTCGGCCAGGACATCACCGGCAAACCTTCAAGAAGAAGAGAAGAAACCATCATAAAGTGGGAGCATTTTATTTTGTCACCTCTCATTATTTTGTATGACTACCTACAGTCATTCAAAATTTCCAGAACTCATCATGTGAGGGTGATTGCTCATCGAGTTGCAATATACTTGCAAAAGATGAAGCATCCTGGTGTACAATAGTTCAAATTTATATTAAATAATCCATGAAGCAACTTCCATTCATTAATTTCATTTCAGCCTCTAGCACAGCTATTTAAGTCTCATCCTCTCTATTTCCATATCACCTGGAGTAGGTGATCCCTCAAGGTTACTGTTACCAGGCATGTTTACTGATGGATTATTATCTTCCTCCCTGAAGCCTGAAAAGTCTGAACTCATCTTCTGACATAGATTTTATCCTTAAACACTTGCTTCCCTCTTACAGTATCAGTGGACAAAGTTTTCCAACAGGCACATAAAATAACACAAGTTGAATGTAAAATATGCACATAACACTTACCATAACCACAACCTGTTACCTAATATATGAAAATAACACTTCCACTGAGACCACCTTGGAAAATCTTCTCCTACCAGAAACATGCAACTGTTATTACCCCATACCAGTACATATAGTTCAAAGAATGTTTTGAGTTATTTTAGCGTCAAATAAA